CCCTGAAAATTTGAAGTCTCTAGCACATCTCCTTCTAGTGGAACAGACAGACACACAGACAGACACACAGACAGACAGACACGAGGTCGTTTGCAGAAGCCCGCTGGATAGCTTTCAAAGCAGAAGGGCGGGCTAAAAACCGCAAAATAGGAAAGAAACTCTCCCCCCACCCCTCAAAAAACGTTTTCTAAGCAGAAGGGTGGGTTGTAGTCGCGGTGCTTCACCGTTACACCCCTTTCTCGTGTCTACGGGGCAAACTCAAAGACGACGGGTTGAAGCGGGCCGAAGGCTTTTCTGCTGTGTAGCTATGAATACTTGAGTTTGACCTGATATTTTAGAAACTCTGTGTACCTGTATAAATTGTGTAATTTCAATTGTTTAAATCGCATTGCTAATAATAAGGTCATTAAAATAATCACTGAGCAAATCCCAAATTAACAATACCAATAACTGTCTCATCCGCCAAAGGGCGCAACGAACCCATCACCGGACCATTAGCAGCAACGTTTTCTCCTTGTCCTCACGGCTGTTTATTGAGAGTACAGTTACACCGGCCGTTAAATCACTACCCGTTGTAGCTGACGGAGGGCCTTTTTGTCACGGGTTGCCTATTTGCAGGAGTTTTGTAGATCACATTGCCCATGGATCAGGTGACTTCCTAAAAGCTGGAGAGGGTTCGGGGGCAACATGGGCCGACCAGAGGGAGGGGGCGTCTCTCGTTGGATCCCTCAGCTTATCCACACTTTCGTGTGATGGTATAGCTGAAAATGAGTATCTTACCTAACGCTCTTCCTTTGCCGAGGACCAGGTAGGCGACAGCTGAACCGTAGATCTGGTTGGCAAGGTATACGACTGGACGTCCAGGCCGAGGTATTCTGTCCAGCTCGAGAACATAGCCATCCTTGGTCGTGACATGGTGAACTTCGGAGGGATACCCCGAAGACCGAAGAAGTTCAGACTATACAAACAATTTTTTGAAGCCCCGTTTATGCTAATGTTTGAAATTTTAACATTCTTTAAACTTTTAACTTTCTTAGGTTTTTTGTGAAGTGAAACTTTCTCCCTTTTCAAGAAATCTGCTACTTTCTATACTACACTCCAAGAGGACAATCAGACTTGACTCTCATTTTAGCATAGAAATATTTGAGAAATGTGAGGTGGTTTCTGAGAATTCCCTAATTGTGTTTATTTTTTAAAACTTGCCGGAACCCCAAACGGTGAGTTTTTAAAGGTTTTAGCGAGGGGGTTATCACTACAAAAAGTAGGTGTACACATTTCTATACAAGTGAAAGTAATGAAAACTGAAAGAAAATGTGGACAAAAGTGACTCATCGTGCATTGATCAGATCAAAAATGAATAAAATAGAGGGAATATAGGCAGAGAAATGAAGTAAACGTTGTAAAACGATGAAAAAGTGAATAAAAGTGAAAAGTTGAGGTGTACGCATTTTCAGGGAGTGATTACCCCCTCGGGTTTTAGTTTGAAGTTTCATAATAGGCAAACTGCACTGAGGTGAGTACTTTCGACTGTTTCATTGCCAAATGTGTTCCATAGGGTAGACCAGTTCCCAAAAACACTCTTTTCGAAAATCGACTGGGACCGCTCGAAATTTTGTTGCAAATAATTCAAAGTTTAACGCCCTTAAACCGTTTTGAGGTGGGACAACGCTAACCCGTGCCGCAAAGCAGTTCTTTTGTGTTTTCTCATTAAAATACGATATTACTAAAACAGCTGCCGTTTTCTAATTCTTTGGCCGATTTTGATGCCCTTTGCATGGTAAGTTTGATCTACACACTTGTAAATCCCTGCAAAGTCCCCCCGTTGTAGCTTCAAAACTTTGGGAGATATAGCAGTTCAAAGTTTAGGTCAATTTTAGACTTTTCCCACAAATCACTAAATTTGCAGTTGTAGGTAAAACATCGACCCCTTTGGCTCCTAAAAAATCATTTCGATGCGAAATTTTCTCATGATTCGAAATATGCCCCCGTAAGTGCTGTAGCTCAAAGCGTTCTATGTCAAATCGATGATAAGAGTAGAGTGAGTAGGTGACGAAAACGGACTGGACCGGACCCAAAATGGCCGAAAATCGATATTCCGTGTTAATTTTATCTTAAAAAAGTTTTAACTCAACCTGAAATCGAAAACCAAAACTATTTTTAAATTGGAAGGTTTTTAGCATATCACAATAATCGGATAACCTTAAACGGTTCTTAATACGATAACATAGTGCATGCAAAAAATACCTTAGCAGCAGGTAATAAATGAAAGATTGCAAAGTATGAGCATTCGTCTTCAAATAGACCTACCGTTGTCCTGTGGTGTTTACTACCAAGAGCAACATGCGGCACCGGCACAACAGCGAGTCCAGCGAACACACAAACCAAGAGAAGTGCCATGACAGTTTTCATGTCCAATTTTCCATGAGACCTAAAACTAATCAAAAGTTCACATGCTTCAAATATTGCTTGCCTTGAAAATCACATTAGTAGGGTATTCCGCTGCAAGCCAACCGGAACCTAAAGGAGAAAAGCATGACTGCACGATGTATTTCCCTCTGCGCGCTCATTGGCTGCGCAGTGGGCTTTTGATACAAAGCCGAGGGGTCTACAACTCGTATAATCAAAAGTACACGACCCTATAATCACTTATCACGTCTATAATCCATAATCTTTTATAATCATTATCTATAATCATTCTATAATCTTA